AAGAAAGAGAGAGAGAGAGAGAGAGAGAGAGAGAGAGAGAGAGAGAGAGAGAGATGTTTTACGGGATTTCCTACAGCCTGCTCTTATGGAGGTATTTTTCTTAGTTGAGGTTCCCTCCTTTCAGATAACTCTAGCATAGAGTTCCTGGCCAGGCAAGGCTATACACTGAGACCCTGCCTTAAAAAATAATGAGGAGAGAAGCTATTGCTGTGAACTCAGACCACTAGAGAGTCAGAGCTGAGAGTGAAGACATAGCCAGCTGCAGAGACAAAGGCTCTGGAGCAGCATTGGCAGGCCCAGCTCCAAAGGTCGATCAGGTGGACAGCATACAGCCATTGGGTAGGCCTTGTCAACTGAGGACAGGGCCAAACAGAAGCCCTGTTGGTAGTTCTCTGTGGTCGGTCCTTGCTCCATGCCCTGGGTGTCAGATCACAGCTTGGCGGGGCAGACCCATTGATGCTGTTGTGTTGTTGTCCTTGCTCCATGCCCTGGAGCTGTGTCAGATCACAGCTTGGCGGGGCAGACCCATTGATGCTGTTGTGTTGTCTTATCACTTTATGGGGTCCAGGCAAGGGAGTTCCACCCTTTCCTTGGTCTAGTAAGCTCTTGTGTTTGATTTGATTAATATAATTTTAACATGCCATGTGCCGCCACAGTCTAAATTCACACTGATAAATGTATGGGGCAATACCTTCCTACTTCCAGTCTAGGTGATGTGTAGGTGGTGCTGGACAGCTGGTGGTATTTGGGGGTCCACCTTAGTGAGCAATCACCCTCCACCCTTGAAATGGAGTAAGGAAGTGTTTGTAGAACATAGGCACAGCATGGCTGATGAGCAAGTCTACACAGTATGAATTGATAGTGTAGACTGGTCTCAGCATGAACCTATAGAGGATATTTTATATTTAACCAATACAGATGGAGAGATCGAGGCAACCGGCTTTCTGGGAAGAGTTGAATCAGTAGCTGAGAAGGAGCCTGAGATCTGTCACTGAATCTGCAGAAAGGAAACCTGGTTAGAACAATGGCCATTTTGTTTGTTTGGTTTTTCAAGACAGCTTACAAGTCAGGCACTTTATCAGTGAATCTGTCTTCCTTTTCTCATAAATGCATCCAGCAGATCCTGCCCTATTGTCATGATCAAATCTAACCATTTCCACAAAGGGCCACCCCCAAATCCTGTCACACTGGGGCACAGGGCTTTAATATGTAATGGGGACACCATTTAGCTCATAGCCACATGACAGAGCTCACTGGAATGTCATGACTGATTGTTCATCTGTATTAACAGGCTACTCGGTGGTTGGTCACATCATTGAGAAGTCCCCAAAGAAGAGCAAACCTGCCCCACCTCCCCACCCTCCAAGTTTGGCCCACTTCATCCTCATGCTCACCCCTGCACAACTGTCTTCCTGAGTTTGTCTCATTAGTGCCTGGGGACAGGGACACCCCACCTCACCCTGCATGGCACCAGCCACTTTTGTCATCCCTTTAGCCACAGAAGTCTGGGGAGGAACCACGGAGGTTGAGGTTCCCACGGGGTGTGAGGTAACCTCCAGGGACATCTTGCAATGGGTGGATATAGTCTTGGTTTCATAGCTAGAGGATATTATGTATGCAGCTGTCACCCCTGCACATGCAGATGACAGAGCAGGGGTCACACCCTGCAGTCTGCTGAAACCATAGCTTTCCAACTGCATGAACCTGCTGGGTCAGAGCATGACTGCCACCAGGGCTACACTAGCCATGTGTCCCCCTGCCCTGCTCCAAGTAGCAACCTCCATCTCTGGTTTATTTGCCCTCTTTGACTTGGATGTGTCCAGATCTGTCCATCTCAACCACACTTGTCTTGCGGAGTCCCTGGCTGCCCTTTCTCTAACCCCCTACTTAGCAGACAAGGCATTGCTGGCTGTCCCCTGCCTCCAGCCTGACCCTCTGCCTGGAGCAGTTTTTCTGGGTTCTCTGCCCCTCTCCCCTGTTTGACTGTTAGCCTCTCCTCTGCATGGGCATGTCAAGGCAGGGGTAAGGTGGCTCTGCAGGTGCTTATCAACTCTGTGGGCATTTGAGTATGTTTTCTGAGAGGTGTGATCCAATATTCCCCAGGGGTGACAAAGCAGTGGCATTTGCTCCCTGTGTTAGGTGAATAATAGTTCCTGAAAACAGTACCTCTTAATTCCTGGCACCTGTGAAGGTGATGCTGCAGAGAAAACGCTCTTTCCAGGTCTGATGAAGTTTCGGATCTTGGCAGGTGATAACTTGAGTCACAGGTGTCCTCATAAGAGAGAGGCGGGCCGGCTGGGGATGTAGCTCAGAGGTAGAGCATGTGCTGAGCATGCAGGAGGCCCTGGGTTCCATTCCCAGCACTTTGATGGGTGGGGATGGGGGACAGGAGATGTGTTCTGAGGCAAAGGTCATGTAAAGACAGAAGCAGAGATCGAAGTGATGAGACGATGAACCACAAGGGATGCTGACAGTTCCCCGAAGCTAGAAGAGATAGAGGAGGATCTCCAGAAGCCCCCCATGGGAACTGGCACCTGTCTAATTTCAACTGTTAGCAGCCCTTCTCTTCTTCCTTTCTTTTCCTTCTTTCTTTCTTTTTTTTAATTTTAAGACAAGGTTTTGCTCTGTAGCTCTGGCTAAACTAGAACTCTGTGTAAACCAGGCTGGCCTCAACCCATGGCTATCCTCCTGCCTCAGCTGCACAAGGACTGAAACTACAGGTGTGAGCCACCATACTTGGCTCAACTGTGGATTTCTGTCCTCAGTGTTGTGAGAGAACACAGCTCTGCTGTCTCGACCACGTTGGGTCATGTGTCACAGCAGCTCCAGGGCAGGATACAGGATACACAGCAGCATACAGGAAGCTCCCTAATGACTTGATTTCACACTCTGCCCCTTGCTGTTGGGATCTGGAATATTTTATTCACAGACGGTGTGGGTTCCTCTCTGGTTTAGTGCAGCTCTACTGAGTTAGGATTCACATGGACGGTAGCTGACACACTGTGTAGCTTCACAACTGGGTGTGAGAAGTCATTTCTGGGACCCATCTGTTGCTCTTAGACAAGGCCACCCCTGAGACACCATCCTGTGTCCCCTTGGCTCACACTGTGCTCCCTTCCTGGGCCCACTTAGGACATTTGGCTCTGAAACCAGCAAAGATTCGGGGGCCAGGGTTTGTAGTGTGCTGTGGCTCCACATGGCCCAGCTCCAACCACAAGGAAAGGTGATGGCAGACACCTGCTGGCCCAGAGATACCCTCTCTGCAACCCTGGACTGGGGCTGTATGGATGTCTAGGCCAGGGAGGGGTGGGGACAGGGTCTGGCCAGCAGTGAGAGACAGTGGCAGGGCCTGAGCTCAGTCTCCTGCTTCTCAGACCCTAGGATGTCCTCGGTGAGTGTGCACAGGAACACTGGGAGCTGCCAGCATGGCAGCCCCAGACACACTGCCTTGTGTCAGAAGCTGTGATCGTGTCTTCTCACTCCCAGGAGAGTCTCTCAAAACAATCACAACCATACTCAGGGCGGTTAACTAACCCATGCTGCTATCACACAGAAACTGGGAAATAAAGATGCGAGTGACATCCACCTTGGTGTGCTCCCTCCCCTCCCCTTCAGAGTCTCCTCTACAGCTGGCAGGGCCCCTTCCTCTGTCCCATGTGTGCCATTTGTTCACAGGAAAGTAGAAATGAAGGTGCCTCAGTTATCCAGGGACACTATGGTTGTGCATTTGTGTGAGGGTGGAGATGATTAATCCGTGAGGGCTTCCTGGAAGAGGTAGCCTTGCCTGTAAAGCTCTGGTGAAAGGTCCTGGGATCCCCCGGGGGCGTTTTCTCCCTTGAGGTAGCTTCTCATCTGCCCCTCCACAACTTGGTAGCCCATACAGCTTGCACATCCTGTCATTCCAGTTCCCCTCAGTGGAGCCAGGGAAGAATTGGGAGAGGAAGGGCGTGGGGTTTACAGGCAACTGCCCAACCAGAATACAATCACTGCACTGTCAGGTGTGGGGGCAGGAGTGTGGTCCAGGGGCACCTGGTGGGATTGGCAGAGGCAGAGGCAGGAGCCAGCAGGATAGGAGAGGAGCTGCTCGTCTGGAGCCCGATGTCCACCAAAGGCAAATACCAGGAGCCGGAGCAGGGGTAGGTGAACCCGCTGGCAGAGGACTCTAGGGCCAAGACTGGGGCCAGTGACTGATGGAAACGGGCTGCCAGGGTCTCAGAAGAGGGAAAGGACTGGGAGTCCAGGGGTTGACACAATCAAGGAGCCTAAGACTGCAGAGTGATAGGTGACCCAGGGGTCTCATGGCAGATGTGTGGCCTTGTTCTTCCTTGTCCCTGAGCCTCATATCCCCATGATAGACAGTTTATCCATCTTTCCTGGAGGAGTTCCAGGCTACAAAAGGCAGCTGTGTGAGTCGATGGGGGACACTAGAGCTGGGACCAGGTTGTGAGAAAGGAGGGGGCTAAACCAGGTGACGGTGCCACATGTCTTTAATCCCAGCATTCAGGAGGCAAAGGCAGGTGGATCTGTGTGAGTTCAAGGCCAGCCTGGTCCAGGACAGGCTCCAAAGCTAAACATAAAAACCCTGTTTCAAAAACAAAAGCAAAAAGCAAAAAGAAGAAAGAAAGAAGGAAGGAAGGAAGGAAGGAAGGAAGGAAGGAAGGAAGGAAAGAAGGAAAGAAGGAAGGGGCTTGTGGGAAATGAGTCCAGAGCTGAGTTTCTGGTTCTGTGTTTAAAAAGCCACCTTGTTGGGAAATGAGTCCAGAGCTGAGTTTCTGGTTCTGTGTTTAAAAAGCCACATTTCCAGAGGGACACAGTGCACAGTGGCACAAGCCTGTAATCCCAGCACTCTAGAGACTGAGGCAGGAGGATTCTAAATGAGAGAGAGAGAGAGAGAGAGAGAGAGAGAGAGAGAGAGAGAGAGAAGAAAAGGAGGGAGGCTGTGGTTCCCCAGGACCAGCCCATCCAAGGTCACTGAAATTCCCATAGTGACCCTGTTTGAAGTCTCTACTGATTGTGGTCTGTGTCCGATCCTAACCCTCTACCAAGCAGACAAGACACTGCTGGCCATCCCCTGCCTCCTGCCTGACCCTCTTCTGTTTTACTAATGGCTTGAAGCAGCTCTTCTTCCTTCTGGATTTCTCTGCCCCTCTCCTCTGTGTGACTGTCAGCCTCCTCTGCACGGGCATGCCAGGAGTCAGACAGAGTGCTTTCCTAGTGTGCAAGAAGTCCTCGGTTTCAGCCCCTAGCACTTGTAAACTGATCCTGGTGACACATGCCAGTCAACCTAGCACTTGGGAGGGGGCAGAGGCAGGAGGATGGGGGTGGGTGGGTTTCAAGGTCATCCTTGGCTGCATAGCAAGCTTGAAGCCAGCCCAGGAACATAAGATTCTGTCTCAAAAGAAGAGCCAGGGGTGGAGGGCGTTCCTGTGTTTCTAGAACTGCTATAGTCTTACAATGTTTTTACATTTATTTAGCCTGCATATGTGCATGCACCAGTGAGAATGCGCAAATGCGCAGGACTGTGGAGGGTGGAGATAAGAACATATTTAGCATGAGTTATTCTCTCCTTTTACTATGTGGGTTCCAGATCACCAAGCTTGGTGGTGAATGTCTACTTTCTTAGACATCTCACCAATCTGAAGAATTACAGTCTTATTGTAAAAAATCTTAAGCTACAGAAAGGTGTTGATGATAAAAGATATGCTCCTGACACTTAGAGCAGAGTCAGGAGGATGGCTACAAGTTTGAGGCTACATAGAGAGAACCAAGCAGCTAAGGCTGCATAGTGATACCTGTCTCTAAACACACACACACACACACACACACACACACACACACACACACACACAGCTGGAGAGATCACTCAGTGGGTAAAGAGCTTGCCACACAAATATAAAAGTCAGAGTTCAGATCCCCTGCCTTAAGAAGAAGCTAAATAGAATAGGGCATTGGTGGTGCATGCCTGTAATTCCAGAACTCGAGAGGCAGAGGCAGGCAGATCTCTGAGTTTGAGGCTAGCCTGGTCTACAGAGAGAGTTCTAGAACAACCTCCAAAACAGTACAGAGAAACCCTGTCTCAGAAAAACAAAAAACAAAAAACAAAAAAAAAGAAAAAGAAAAAGAAAAAGAAAAAAAGAAAGAAAAAGCTGAATAGGTGTAGCAGCCCACGTGTTAACCCAGAGCTCAGAAGTCAGAGAAAGGGGACCCCTGAGCCAGGCCAACTAACTAGACCACCCAAATTAGTGAGCTGAGCTCTGGGGCAGTGAGAGACCCGTCCATAGCAAACAATGAGGAGAACCATAGGAAACGGCACCCATTGTCAGCCTGTAGTCTCCACACATACATCTGTGCATGCACCTGGATTTACACATGAGCCCACATATATTTGAACACATACACACACTGTTTGTGCACATGATCGTAATGTTGGTGAGAGCAGAGGTCTGTGGGGTTCAAAAAGACCCATTTTTAGTGGCCACTGTGAGGAAGACAAATCAGCTGGCCTCTTGGAGCCTCAGCTTTCTCATCCTTACAATGGGGTAACAAGTATCCGCCAGGCTTAAACATTACTCTTCCTTCCAGCTCTGTTCCGTGTTGTATTTGCTGTCCACAGACTCCATGGCAGCTCCCTGGGCAGCAGGTCCCATCAACACAACTGCCCACTGCATCTCATTGCTCAAAATCTGCCCCACAGGCCCTTGCACCTGCTGCCCCACATCCACAATGCTCAATGTCCTTGTGTCTTCACTGCAGTTAGAGCTGGACTGATGACTCTCTGGCCTCGCTCTGGAAGTGACTGTGTGTGCTGATCCTGTATAATTACAGTCTCGTGCCACATTACTGCCAGGCCAGTCAGTGACAGTCAGAATGTACAGCAGTAATCCTACAGATTATAACCGAGCTGACTGAAGTAGGCTGTCCCACATTAAGGAGCCCTGGGGCCTCAGACAACCCAGGTTCAGTCCCATGAAAGCAGTAGGAAGCCATGAACAATGTCAGAGCAAGGCCAATGTGACCAGGAGCTCACAGAGTCCAGGAAGGGAGCACTAGTGAGGGCTGGTGCCATTGGCACCCCAGAAGGAGCTGTCAAGAAGAGACCTGAAATGCTCTAGGACCTTTGTCCTAAGAGCTCTATCCAAGGGGTCACTGTCCTGAGAGCTGTGTCCACTGAGGAGGGGCGCTGTCCTGAGAGCTGTGTCCACTGGGGTGTTATTCTGAGAGGACATATGATTGGAGAGGCAAGAGTGCCTATGCTGTCCCTATAGGAGGTCTGCCCCTGAGTGCAGTTTTGAGGACTGTCCACTGTGGGGCACTATTATGGCATGAACTCTGTTTGCAGGGAGTGCTGTTGCAAGAGCTCTGTTTGAAACGGTGTGTTGGAAATTAGGTGATCTTCCAAGGACTATGAGCCGGTCCCAGCACGGGCAGCTTCTGTCCACGCAGATGCAAAGCACACACCTGTATTCATTCAGGTCATCACAAAAAACAAACAAGAGCGCGCGCACACACACACACACACACACACACACACTTACTTATCCACAGATTCAGAATACAGACGTTTGTTCAGACACATGGACGCAGGCTCTCATTTGCACATGGATACAGAGCAACAGATATAAAATGACAATAAGCCTTGTGAGTTGGCTCATGCCTGTAATTTCAGCTCTGTGGGAAGTAAGAAGCAGGAGTATCAGGAATTCACAGGTCACTTCTAGCTCTATAATACTTCAGAAGCCATCAGGAACTACATGAGACCTTGTCTCAAAAAAACCAACCAACAAATGAAGAGCAACAAAAACAAAAACAAAACAATCTCAGTGCACCAGGACTCAGAAGTGCTAGCTCCACCGCAGTGCCAGCCTGTAGGGTTGAGACACCCATGGAAGACCCTAAGCTTCTGGGCATGGCACAAATCATGGGTAATTGGAATGTGTCTTAAAGATGAAGACGGTCCCGTTAACCACCCAGTAACGGCCCCATATTGCAGGATGGATCCCTTTGAGGAAAAGCTGCAGAGGCTGAGGGAGGCCTTCAACACGGGGAAGACAAAGCAGGCCAAGTTCAGGGCTGAACAGCTACGGAGCCTGGGCCGCTTCCTACAGGACAACAAGAAGCAGCTGCATGACGCTCTGGCTGGAGACCTGGGCAAGGTGCTGTTGGGGCATTGGGTGGGCACACAGAGGTGCTGATGTGTCCTTCCCAGGCTGGGCCACATCCTTTCTGAGATCTTGTGTCCCTAAGGAGAGTCCTACCTTGCAATGTGATTGGCTGTGTGCCCAAACTATATCCTGAATATTTATGCCTTGTATGCAGAATACAATGTTAACTCAGGAACACACAGAGGCCACCTAAGAGGTCATCTGGATGGCTGCTCTCAGGTCACAGATAGGGAAACTGAGGCACTCTAGTTAAGTCACTTGCCAAAAGTCTCAAAGCCAGGCAGTGGTAGTCCAGAATTAGTCCCCATGGAGCATACACTGTTTATATGCTCAAGGAAACCTCCTTACACCCTTTCCAAATGATAGACCCCAGCTCAGCCTTGAACCTGCCCTTCCCACCCCACAGTCAGCCTTTGAGTCAGACATGAGTGAGATCATCCTGTGCCAGAATGAGGTAGACCTGGCCCTCAAGAACCTGCAGACCTGGATGAAGGATGAGCCTGTGTCCACCAACTTGGTGAGCCCTGTTGTCTGGGTGGCAGTGGGGTAGCAGGGCCTGACCCAGACCCTTTCTTGCCACTTCTCACTGGGGACCCCATCACCCAGGGAGGTGAGGACATGTGTGTGGGAGGCTGTTACACACTTGGCACCTGACTGTCATCCTGCATCCTAGCTCACGAAGCTGAGCTCAGCCTTCATCCGGAAGGAGCCCTTTGGCCTGGTGCTCATCATTGCACCCTGGAATTATCCTTTGAACTTGATGATCCTGCCCCTAGTGGGGGCCATCGCTGCAGGTGAGGGGGAGTTTTGGTCCTTCCCAAAGAGGGCATCCAGAGTTCCCTGGAGCCTGCAGACACCAGCCTCTCCCCCTACCTCCCCACCGACTCCTGCAGGGAACTGCGTGGTTCTAAAGCCATCAGAGATAAGCAAGAACACAGAGAAGGTGCTGGCTGAGCTGCTGCCCCAGTATCTGGACCAGGTGTGTATGGCTCTGTCTGTCAGCACCCAGCATCCCCACACCCATGTCCAGGCCAGTGGGGAAGTCCCTGCTGTCCTCGAGGCTGCCCTCTGAGCTGTCATCCTGCCTTGCAGAGCTGTTTTGCTGTGGTGCTGGGTGGGCCCGAGGAGACCGGGCAGCTGCTGACACACAAATTTGACTATATCTTCTTCACAGGTGAGGATGGCCCTGGCCAGGATCCTGGGATGGGGGACAGCATAGAACACAGTGTGAAGTCATTGAGGGACAAGGCCCTAGGCCAGGATAGGGAACAAATCAAGATATGGAGGTGTCCCTGAGGGTAGCAGTCCACGCCCTCTGAGAATCTTGGAGATTGGTTCCTGGGTGGTCAGGATAGGTGGAACAGCCCAGAAGTTGGGCTGACAAACATATCTGTGGAGAGGGGAGGCCAAAGTTCATGCCTAGACCAGTTGGCCAGGTGAAGATAGTGTCTCTTGACCATGTCCTCAGGGAGCCCTCGGGTTGGCAAAATCGTGATGGCTGCTGCTACCAAACACCTGACACCCATCACCCTGGAGCTAGGGGGAAAGAACCCCTGCTATGTGGATGACAACTGTGACCCCCAGACTGTAGCCAACCGTGTGGCCTGGTTCCGCTACTTCAATGCTGGCCAGACCTGTGTGGCCCCCGATTACATCCTGTGTAGCCAGGAGATGCAAAAGCGGCTGGGGCCTGCCCTGCAGAATGCCATCACACGTTTTTATGGAGACAACCCACAGACCTCCCCTAACCTGGGCAGAATCATCAACCAGAAACATTTCAAGCGGCTCCAGGGACTGCTGGGCTGTGGCCGTGTGGCCATTGGAGGCCAGAGCAATGAGGCAGAGCGCTACATTGGTGAGTCTCTTGTACCCATCACTGGTTCCCAGCCCACCTGCACTGAGACCCTTCCATACTGGAGGGGCCCACCCTGGACCTCAAGTCTGAGCCCGAGACTGAATTCTAATTTCTGTTGCTAGGAATCCCCAACACTATGGTTCTTGGCCTGTGACTCTTCAGTGCTAAACTACTGTCCCACAGCTCAGCCACCGTGAGCTACAACCCCTTTCTAGGTTTCCAGAATGTCGCTTAAATTCCTGTCCTACCCTCTATTGTTCCAAATCCCATAAGGACAGAGTCCCAGACACAGCCTGGCATTCTCAGAGGTCAGACCCTGAGACTCCCCATCCTGGAGACCAGGCTCTCTCCCTGTCAGAGCTTCTGTTCCTCAGTGTCCTACTTATGGAGAGGCTCTATTCCCTGTGTCTGCAGCACCCACAGTGTTAGTGGACGTGCAGGAGACAGAGCCTGTGATGCAGGAGGAGATCTTTGGACCCATCCTGCCCCTGGTGACTGTGAGGAGCTTGGATGATGCCGTTGACTTCATCACTAAGCAGGAGAAGCCACTGGCATTGTATGCCTATTCCAACAGCTGCCAGGTGGGTGCAGTGTCCAGAAGTGGGCTCTGGGAGAGGTGGCAGCACAGAGCACACAGGCTCTCTGGATAGTAACAGAATTTCAGGGATGGTGGCTTCTTAGGCTTTGTCCCTCCCCTCCTTCCCAGAAGGCAACGAGGTCCCATCCCACATCCTATCCAGATTACACACATATTAGGAGCATTCTGCTGGCACCACCACATCTGACTGAACCAACAGTTTTTTGTTTTTGTTTTTTTTTTCCACAGGTCTCATGTAACTCTGTCCTCACACTTACAATTTATCTGAGATGGCTTCAAACTCCTGATTCTCCTGCCTGTACATCAATAATGCTGGGATAACAGGAGTCCACGCTATATCTGGTTTTAGGCGGCATTAGGGATCAAACTGAAGGCTTCACACATATTAAGCAAGCACTGCCAACTGAGCTCCATCCTCCAGCCCTCAACAGTGGTTTTATAAATCCACTTTGATTTGAGAATACATTTATGGGAAAGTCACAGAGGCGGGAGACTTCCCATGTACCCCACACCCAATTGCCCCTTGAAGGGCTCTGACACAGGGCAGAACCAGGGGCGCTGGGGGCATCACCATACCTGTCCCTTCATCCCTGTCATCTGTGTTCCTGATCTAGTGCTCTGTGAGCGAGGTCTCAGCCTGTATGGCCAGGTTGCTGCAATGTCACCAGTTTCTGGGTTTCCTCATGACTCAATCAAAGCTGTGGGGTTTCCAGAGAGATTGCCATAGCGGCAAAGGTTGCCTGAGTGCCCAAGGGCTGTTCATGGCTGGGGAGATTAGCAGTCATTTGGGCAAGGCTCTGTCTTGAGTGACTCTGCTGGGAGCTGTCATACCTCTTCCTGAGAACGTGGGGCAAAGCCTCTAAGCTGGCCTATGGGGAGGCGCGTGGTGCTGCAGAGCTTCAAAGAAGACTGACACTAGGCTACTGCAGACATATTCTCCATCCCAGGAGAAGGTATTGTCTCTTTAGCCGTGTGTGTGTGTGTGTGTGTGTGTGTGTGTGTGTGTGTGTGTGTGTCTGTAGGTTGGTGTTGTGTTGCCTGTGTCATTGAGAATAATCTTGAACTCCAGGGACCAATCTCAGGCTGATAAGCCCAAACCTGACCTTTGTGGCCCAAACTCACCCCACACAAACCCCTCACTTCTCTCCTGAATAACTGTCACCATAAGACTCTGCAGCCACCTCATGGCTCTCCACTGGGACACCTCCATGACCACTATGTCCCCACTCTGCCTGCCTCTAGCCTCATGCTGTCTTCTTGGGATTACGTCTCAACACCCTGTCAGGGCCACATACAGGCAGACACATGGGGAACATGTCCACAGCATAGAACTCTGTGAGTCTGTCCAGACCCACCTTGGACCTCAGACCCTTGCTGAAACAAATTATAACCAGGTGTTTTACAGGTTCCTGTTTCTCTCCCAGGTGATTAAACAGGTCCTGGCCCGGACCAGCAGCGGGAGCTTCTGCGGGAACGATGGCTTCATGCACATGACCCTGTCCAGCCTTCCTTTTGGAGGAGTGGGTAGGTGGCAGCAGAGCTCTGCCCTCCTGGGCTGATCCATGGCTGCATCCCCACCCTGCTGCTGGAGCGCACTAACTACAGAACACGCAGCCCACTTTCAGGGCAGCAGACACAACTGTGTCCATCTGTCCTGCCTCCTGCCCCCCTACAGTCTGTGGTGGAACCTTCCAGATCTGCTTACATGTGTGAGTGAGGAACCTGAGGCTGCCAGCCATTAAGCTCCTTGACATTCATCAAGAAACATTTGATGAACACTTGTCCTCAGCCACCCATCCCCCACATAGCCGTGGGTGTTTTCTCTCAACTATGAGGCTATGCGTTTGCTCCTTCAGCCTTCCCTTGTCCCTGTGAACCGGGCCCTGAGCACCTCAGCTTCCAGGAGGCCTGAGATGTGGAGATGCATGCCCCACAGGCATATATGACCTTGGTAGCCACTTTGCCTCTGAGACCACTTCATTATTGAAAGGGTATTCTGGTCCCTTCACCTGGTGAGTCTCAGGAGTGAAATGCGTGACAAATGGCTCTGGCCCCTGCTGGTCTGTCTAGAGGACCCACTCCCTTCTCTGTCTGCTCTGGCAGCCACTCAGCTTGGGCCTAACATGTCACCCACCTCTAAGGCTCTCTGAGCTGTTCCCAGGCTTGAGTCCTTTTGGCTCACCCACTATTTATCTGGTAGACTCTACAACCCTCTGGCCTCATTCACTCCAGAAATCCCAGCTTCCTTGACCTCTATTTCACACAGGCCATTCCCTGGGTCCCTGCTCCTTTCTAAACACTGGGAACTCTATGGGTGTGAAGATTCACTTAATTTCTTCACCCTAGGAGGAGGGTGTCACTGCCCCAGAAGAGGAGACTGAGACAAAGTCACTTACCTCAAGGTGGCATAGCTATTCAGGACAAAGCTGGGATCCACCTCCACCCTGGCAACCTGGCCTGGGGATATAATTCATTGGCCACTGTGTGCCTATCCTGCACCAGTGCCTGGGAAGCTGATGCCAGGCAGGCTCAGGGCTCAGCCTTTCACTCACAGTGCTTTGTAGCCCACTGGATCAATGGGGAAACAGAGGCTCAGATAACACCCTGTCAGAGCCAGGGCTGTGTCATGTCTCCTCAGCTGGCCACTGAAGGCTTGACCCTTTGTTCCATGTTGTCCACAGGATCGAGTGGGATGGGCAGGTACCATGGCAAGTTCTCCTTTGACACCTTTTCCAACCAGCGTGCCTGTCTGCTGAGTAACCCCGGGATGGAAAAGCTTAATGATGTCCGTTATCCACCTTACAGTCCATGTAACCAGAAGCTGCTGAGGTGGGCCATGGGCTCCCAGAGCTGCACTCTCCTATGAGCACCGCCCTGACTCCCTCCTGCTGCCCAGACCCTGACCTACCCAAGATTTTCAGCTGCCCCCATATCCCCAGTGGTACCCCCAAAGCCTGTGAACACCCCACTTCTGGAACTTTTTCTGACTAGACCTGCAGCCAGGCAGGACCTCCAGGTGGCTGGTCTAGTCCCTTCCCAGAGCACAGCCCCCTCGGCAGCCTCCTGACGGTCTGCCTCTCCAAGGTTGGGCAGTTCTGGTGACTGAGGAGGACTTTCTTTGTCAGATCATAGACAGGGTCCCAAAAGACAGAGCAGTGGCTCACAGCTCCATCCACATCTGAGGGTGGCTTTGTCCCATCTGAAGTGACATGATCTTGAACCCTAATCAGATTAATTGGTAGAATCTGCCTGAAGTGTTCACTGGTTACCTTTCTGTTGCTTTGATCAGATGACCTGAAATAGGAAAATTCAAGGGGGAAAGATTCTGTCACATGCTGGGTAGTGGTGGCACACACTTTTAATCCCAACACTCGGGAGGCAGAAGCAGGCAGATTTCTGTGAGTTTGAGACCAGCCTGGTCTACAAGATCTAGTTCCAGGACACACTCCAAAGCTACACAGAGAAACCCTGTCTCGAAAAAACAAATAAACAAAAGAAAGATTCTGTCGTAGCTCATGGTTAGAGGGTTCATTCTACTGAAACTTCTGATGGAGTTAAGGATCCTGGCAAGAGGGTCATCCACACTGTGCTAACTTTAGTCTCAGGTCCTTATAAAAGGGTTGGAGGTAACTGGATGGTAGAGTATTTGCCAAGCATGTAGGAGGCCAGGAGTGCTGAAAGAAAAACATGTGTGGGGGTGATGTGTCCTGAGACAAGACAGGGACAAAGGATTAGATGTGTCCTGAGACAAAGGTTATGTAAAGATAGGAGGAGACTGGAGTGGTGTGGCTACAAACCAGGTATTCTTGGCAGTCACCTGAAGCTGGAAGAGGCAAGAGGACCCAACGCCACAGGCTTTTAGGGATCAGGGCCTCAGCCCATTTTTATTTATATTTTCTTTTCTGAGATAGGGTCTCAGTATGTAGTCCTGACTGTCCTGGGATTCATGGCTATCCTCCTGCCTCAGCTGCACAAGGACTGAAACTACAGGTGTGAGCCACCATACTTGGCTCAACTGTGGATTTCTGTCCTCAGTGTTGTGAGAGAACACAGCTCTGCTGTCTCGACCACTTTGGGTCATGTGTCACAGCAGCTCCAGGGCAGGATACAGGAAGCTCCCTAATGACTTGATTTCACACTCTGCCCCTTGCTGTTGGGATCTGGAATATTTTATTCACAGACGGTGTGGGTTCCTCTCTGGTTTAGTGCAGCTCTACTGAGTTAGGATTCATATGGACGGGTAGCTGACACACTGTGTAGCTTCACAACTGGGTGTGAGAAATCATTTCTGGGACCCACCTGTTGCTCTTAGACAAGGCCACCCCTGAGACACCATCCTGTGTCCCCTTGGCTCACACTGTGCTCCCTTCCTGGGCCCACTTAGGACATTTGGCTCTGAAACCAGCAAAGATTCGGGGGCCAGGGTTTGTAGTGTGCTGTGGCTCCACATGGCCCAGCTCCAACCACAAGGAAAGGTGATGGCAGACACCTGCTGGCCCAGAGATACCCTCTCTGCAACCCTGGACTGGGGCTGTATGGATGTCTAGGCCAGGGAGGGGTGGGGACAGGGTCTGGCCAGCAGTGAGAGACAGTGGCAGG